AAAGCAGTCGTAGTCGTAGTCGCTCGAATAATTTCAATTCCTATTCCAACGACCACGACTGCGATTTATTGCCGCGACGGACCGATCAGAGAATAGTGTTATATGTCGTGCGTCATTATATGTCGAATATATCGTGGGAAAATACCTCAAAAACAGAATATCGGTTTCAGTTATACATCGATACGACCCAATCCATGACTCTACGATTCTAAGACTGCGACCATTGTAGACAGAACCGAGAATCATTGTAGCGGAGGCTTAAGTCGTGAAAGATCTATTGTATACGACTTACGTTACTCTCTGCCTTGCTCTACGTCTACGACTGAGACAGTCTTAAGCGTTTACGGATTGTTCCCTGCCATCAGCCTTGCATCGCGACGGACGATACGTACTTCGGTTCGTATTTCCGTTTATTCAGTCGTCGCCGATACACTGCTGCGAATACGTGATTACCTGACGAGGATCCAGCGAGAAATGATTCGTCGATCGACGTCGAAACGACGTCGAATCGACACCCAGTGAGAAATGATTCGTCGATCGACGTCGGATCGACATCGACACCGTCGAATTGACGTCGATTCGAATCATTTCTCACTGGGCGAGGGTCCCAAAATTCGCCTCGGCTCTCAGAAGTTCTCAGGAGCTTCAACTCATCTCGCGCCTCCTTGCAATCATTCTTTTGGGAAAGGAACAGAGAACGAGTTCAAGCTAATTGTAAGGTTAAAGTTGAGCTACCTTGCCGAACCTAGCGGGCCGTGGAGATCGACTCTCTCTATCCGTCGCGATCCGGAATTACGCATCTCACAATTGTACACCCGCAAGTGAACGCAAACATCGACGGACGCGCGACGATGAGCGCGAAATCCGTCGGGCACCGACGCGCACGAGCGCGGTTTAAAACTCACCGCACGGCACGCCTGCTCCCCTAGATCGTTCGCGCTCGTCGCGTTGGCGGCACTGCGTCGCCGCTAGCGACGCAACTTCACGCGGTACGCGCCGTGTGCCGGAGCGGAGCGGAGCGGAGGTGTACGGCGACTGTACGGAGCGTGAGAAGAAAGAGCTGCCTCGGCCTGTCGTATCGCGGCTCGCGTTGTGGCTCGCGTGTGCGACATGTAATCGCGGCGACGAGGTGAGTACGCGGTATCACGTAGGAATGTTGCGAGAGCGCGCGTGGCAATCGCCGTTTTTTTCGCTTGCAGGGGACAGAGGAGATTCCACTCGGCGCGCATCCGGTGGGACGAATTACCCCCCACCAGGGGTGGGGTCGAACGATCGCCGTCACTTGAGTACGTACGCGTAAACAAGGCTGAGAACGAGGTGATGCCGGTCGCGTAGAGGCAACTTTGTGGAGCGACGCGCGGCCATGGCTCGACCCATCGTGCCGAGCCAGCAGAAGCTGGCGGAGAAGATGACGATCCTCAACGACCGCGGCGTAGGTATGCTGACGCGTATTTACAACATCAAGAAGGCCTGCGGCGACGCAAAGTCCAAGCCCGCCTTCCTCTCCGACAAGGCGCTCGAGTCCTCCATCAAGACGATCGTCCGCAAGTTCCCCAACATCGACATCAAGGGGCTGCAGACCATCTTCAACATCCGCAACGAGATCATCAAGTCCCTGTCGCTCTACTACTACACGTTCGTCGACCTGCTGGACTTCAAGGACAACGTGTGCGAGCTGCTGACCACCATGGATGCGTGCGGCGTTCACATGGAGGTGAAGATCAACTTCGACCTGACCAAGGGCTACCTGGACCTCGTCATCACGTACGTCAGCCTGATGATTTTGCTGTCGCGCGTCGAGGACCGCAAAGCGGTGCTGGGGCTCTTCAACGCCGCCCACGAGATGGTGCACAACCAGTCGGATCCCAGTTTCCCTCGCCTGGGCCAGATGATCATGGACTACGACGCCCCGTTGAAGAAGCTCTCCGAGGAATTCGTGCCGCACTCCAAACTGCTGAGGAACGCCCTGATCTCGCTGTCGCCGGTGTACCCAGGTAGGAATCTGTCCGCCGACACGTGGCGGGCCGATCAGAAGCTGAGCCTCGTCGGCAGCCCCGGGCAGATACTGAAGGCGGCGGCGACCGAGACCATGTCCTGCGAGACCCTGAGCCTGGACAGAATCGAGAGATGGGTGATCCTCGGATTCACGCTCTGCCACACATTCCTGAGTGAGGTGGAGCCGAGCAAGCTGTGGATCACCGCCCTCGAGTCCGGCTGGGTGCTGGCGCTGTTCCGGGACGAAGTCATATACATACATCAATACATTCAGACGTTCTTCGAGGGTATAAAGGGATACGGCAAGAGAGTGTCGGAGGTGAAGGAGTGTTACAATCAGGCGGTACAGAAGGCCGGCTACAGGCATCGAGAGAGAAGAAAGTTCTTGAGGACGGCTCTGAAGGAGCTGGGCTTGATCCTGACGGATCAGCCCGGTCTCCTTGGGCCTAAGGCGCTGCTGGTGCTGATGGGACTCAACCACTCGAGGGACGAGGTACTGTGGCTGCTGCGACACGGCGACAATCCGCCCACTCAAGGTAAAAGCAAGGGACGCGGCAGCGAGGATTTGGTCGACCGTCAGCTGCCGGAGTTGCTCTTCCATTGCGAGGAACTGCGGGCGCTGGTGAAGAAGTATTCTCAGGTGCTTCAGAGGTATTACGTCCAGTTCCTCGCGGGCTTCGACGCCCCCGCTCTACACCAGATGATACAAAATCTGTCGGTCTGCCCGGAGGACGAGGGAGCGATTCTTAGTGATATGTGTTCAACTATAGCTAGTCTGACCGTGAAGCAGGTCGAGGATAATGAACTGTTTGATTTCCGTGCCTTCCGACTGGATTGGGTTAGGCTGCAGGCCTACATGTCTATCGCGAAATGCAACATGAATCTGGCTGACAATCGAGAACTGGCGAGCTTCATGGACACCATAATCTTCCACACGAAGATGGTCGACAATCTCGACGAGATGCTGGTCGAGACGTCCGATCTGTCCATCTTCTGCTTCTACAGCAAGATATTCGAGGATCAGTTTCACATGTGTCTCGAGTTCCCTGCGCAGAACCGGTACATCGTCGCCTTCCCGCTGATATGCAGCCACTTTCAGAGCTGCACCCACGAGCTCTGCCCGGAGGAGCGCCATCACATTCGCGAGAGGAGCCTCTCCGTCGTCAACATGTTCCTGGACGAGATGGCCAAGGAGGCCAAGAACATCATCACGACCATTTGCGACGAGCAGTGCAACATGAGCGACAAACTGTTGCCGAAGCACTGCGCCCTGCTCATCTCGCAGGTTGTCAATCGCAAGAAGAAGGACAAGAACAAGAAGAACATGTACGAGATTCACAAGCCTGGTATAGAGAGCTATCGGAAGACCCGGGAGGAATTGACGACGATGGACAAGCTGCACATGGCCCTCACCGAGCTGTGCTACGCCATCAATTACTGCCCCACCATCAACGTCTGGGAGTACACCTTCGCGCCGAGGGAGTATCTGCATCAGCACCTGGAGTCGCGATTCGCCCGCGCGCTCGTGGGAATGGTCATGTACAATCCGGACACCAGCGAGATCGCCAAGCCGTCCGAGCTCTTCGTCAGCGTTCGATCTTACATGAACGTGCTGCAGACCATCGAGAACTACGTGCACATAGACATCACGCGCGTCTTCAACAACGCCCTGCTGCAGCAGACGCAGGAGCTGGACAGCCACGGCGACAAGACCATAGCCGCGCTCTACACGCAATGGTACTCGGACGTTCTGCTGAGGCGGGTCAGCGCCGGTAACATCTGCTACTCGGCGAACCAACGGGCGTTCGTCAGCCTGTCGGTGGAAGGCGCGATACCGTTCAACGCCGAGGAGTTCTCCGACATCAACGAGCTGAGGGCACTGGCCGAGCTGATAGGCCCGTACGGTATGAAGATGCTGAACGAGAACCTCATGTGGCACATCGCCAGCCAGGTGCAACAGCTGAAGAAGCTGGTGGCCGGCAACAAGGACGTGCTGATCTCCCTGAGAACCAACTTCGACAAGCCGGAGGTGATGAAGGAACAGTTCAAGAAGTTGCAGCACGTGGACAACGTTCTTCAGCGGGTCACCATAATAGGCGTGATTCTCAGCTTCCGGCAGCTGTCGCAGTCGGCGCTGGTCGACGTGCTGGAGGAGCGCATACCGTTCCTGCTGAGCTCCATACTGGACTTCCGGCACCATCTGCCGTCCGGCGATCCCATGCGCGTCGTCTCCGAGATGACGTCGGCCGCGGGCCTGACCTGCAAGGTCGATCCCACTCTCACGACCGCGCTGCGAAATCAGAAGGCCGAGGTCGACGAGGACGAGCACCTGCTCGTCTGCCTGCTGATGGTCTTCGTCGCGGTCTCCATCCCGAAATTGGCCCGCAACGACAACTCCTTTTACAGGGCGTCGCTCGAGGGCCACTCCAACAACATACACTGCATGGCCACCGCGATAAACAACATATTCGGCGCGCTCTTCACGATCTGCGGGCAGAACGATATAGAGGACAGGATGAAGGAGTTCCTCGCCCTGGCCTCGTCGAGCCTGCTGAGACTGGGCCAAGAGGCGGACAAGGAGGCGACTCGGAACAGGGAGTCCGTCTACCTCCTGCTCGATCAGATAGTTCAAGAATCTCCATTCCTGACGATGGACCTGCTGGAGAGTTGTTTCCCGTATGCACTGATACGCAACGCATATCACGACGTGTACAAGCTCGAGCACTCGCAACCATGAGGCTGATAGCGAGATCGCAGGACGGGGTGCTGCATCTGTAACTTGCCACTCAGGGCCACTGTTTTACGTTCTCCGGTAACATCGGACGCGAAACTTTGCTACTATGTGTCGCCTGGCCAAGCGATAACTTTCCGGATGGGATTAGTTTACGGTTAGCTGAAAGAAAGGGAGAGAATGAGAGAACGGCAGATGCGTACGATTGTTCGAGAGTTGATCAAGTTATCGACAACAAGTTATTCCTCGATGTTGCGACAGACCGGTGCAAGCTTGCGACATTGTAATGCACCTCTAGCCATTTCCCTACGTTGCTTGCGGCAAAAAATCGCGCGTCGGATCAATCCGTACAATCGAGACAATTGTTAATCGCGAAACATTTCTATAATTCGATTCTGCCTTTGCGAGAAGCTTCACTCGAACTCTCTTCACGGAGAATTAATCGACTCGGATTTCATAATGCGCACCGAAGTGATGTGTAATATGCATTTCTTTTTCCAATGTACAGTATTATCTCAGTTACATTTGCGACATCCGGCTCGAAGTGTTGGTTGATAACGCAATTGCATATCTTGGATTCCAGTCGAGTATTGTTATATTATATGTATTTTACGTAAAGGAATTTTTCTATTGCACAGAGGGATGCGCGGTTGTAAGCTCCCGTGACTTCTGAAGATCGCGAATATTCATGTATCACACAGTAGGGATCGTCGTTTACCCACTATGACTTTTTAATGTACAATTGTAACTCTTTTACAATAGTTTATATACCAAATAAAATTATGTGTACAAAAAAAGAACACGCACAACCGACCCGTAAACCCCGCTCCATCCCCGTCGCCCCAGAGACTACACGCGGGTAAATGTAAAATGTATGCTTTATTTAATTCTTTACAATGTTTTGTCTCTTTTAATCACATTAACGTAACACAAGAGATATTCACAATCATAATTCTTTTATTTATAATATCCTTAAAACACTCGCCGCATTCTAGACATTTTTTTGGGGGGGAGGAAAAGAGAGTGGTGGTCTGAAGCTACGTTCAGCGATTGGTCAGTATCATGCTCGGTTATAATAATTTACAATAAAGAGATACACTTCAAGAACGCATCGCTCAAAGTTGCACCGACTAAAACGTATTAGAGATTACGGCACGAACGTAATTAAGGGCCACTTGGTGTTGGATGATATCCAAGTAACGCTCTAAATAAAATAAAAAATCGTATGGTTTCTCGGGGTGTGTGTGGGGGGGGGGAGGGGGAGGGGAAACAATGCTCGTCGTTCGCCAAGTGATTTGATACAAAGGGCACGAAGTTACGCTTAAAATAATCCCGGATGCACGATGTTGATAGGTCACCACGTTTTTGGATCGATAGAAAAAATATAATCTTCGATTTTCTTTTTGTTCTTTCCTTCTCTAACATTATGTACAAGTGATAGAGTAGTGTATTGTGTGTGCATCGCGTCACAGTAATGCGGTTCTGGATTAAGAGCGGATAATCGCGCGACGGAACCGCTTGAGGATCTCGCTCTCGCTGCTCGCTACCGATCGCGATGGCTCGCGCTGCCGCGACGGAACCGCGGGGGAGAGGTGGAGAGGCGAGGGGAGGGGGGGGATGAAGGTTCGCATCTTAATCCAGACGCCGTGGAAATGAATAAGCTTAAGCATACGTAGTTAGAGGTCTGGGACAAAAATGATGAAGGAGAATTTATCCTTATCTCTTACTAATCCTTTCGTACGCGCAAGCGACTTCATTGTCAACTAGTAACTACACCCTGACCCCATTCCACACTCGCTCTTTAGGCTTTTTCGGAACGTAACGAGCCGTTGCTATCTCCTATCTCGTTCTATTTTTCGGACACTCGTTACGTCGCGCACGAATTTGTACCCGCGCTCTTTGATCGTGACAGTTCAGTCGTTCGAAATGGCAATGGCAGTGAAAAGGAAGCAAAAGTAGTTCGCGCTACCGATAACGTGTTCGAACAGGACGTCAGCTCGTTCCGAAGGCAATTTCTAACTACCTCGTTAAATGGCAGTGGCTCGGAACGAAATGACCACCCAGAGATTCTCGACGATTCTTCGAACGACATTGTGTCTCGCTTTTTTCTCTCTCTCTTTAACGCGCGGAAAGGCTTCTCTCTTCCTCCGCGTAAAATGAAATTTAAAAAAAAAGGACGTATAAAAGTCTTCTTTATCTGACGGCTTTCTAAAGTGTTGGCGTTATTATCAGTACATTTAGAAGACCGTAATTAACTGTGGACTTGGCAGAAAACATTTCTAGCGATGCACTATTAACGCATTAAAATCAATCAAAAACTCGAATCACCTATGTTCGTTGGCAGTAAATCTTGTCCGTGGATTGTCACGGATTTGTTGCTCGCGTCGAAACAGACTAACTTCAAATGGTGTTGCGAGCGATTGCGAATGGGGTCAAACGGAATACTTGTTTTGCACCTATACGCAAGAAATGTCGAAATTTCCTAAATAACGTTGATCGTACGATTTCTCCGGTCCACGCTGGATCGACAAAGAAACTCATACTTAAAACTTAGAGGCTCGATTACACGCACGTACAGACACTCGCACGTCATCCCTAAACTTCCGTTCTGATTACAAAATACAGAATAATATTTCGCTATAATACAGATCTGATATAAAAAACAAGTATTTTTTGTATTCGCTTTACCATCTGTTATGGTTATACAATCATTTCATAATATCAGTATATTTACACAGATGTACACACTCGCGATCTATCTCTTTCGCGGTCTCTCTCACTCACAATGTTTCCTCGCACGCCCGAAAAAAAAAACTCGTTATTTTCCGCGTCCCACTTGCCCGCGATTCCCCCTCGCTTATTCTCTTCCCTCACAAGACTTCGGTATGATCCGCCTAATAATCACATTGCGTCTATTGTACATTTCCACACGATCCGTAAACTCGTATTGTAGCGTCTTTGCTGGCACCTCCTCGTTTCAATCCTGCATCCCCTACATCCAACTTTCCGCCTGGATAAAACACAGTCTTAAAGTTACAACGCAGAGGGTTGTAATTTAATTGCGGACAGACATAGAGATATATTGATCACACCAATCGATATTTAAAAACGCGATTGAATTTCTCTCTCTGTACTCTACGCATTTCTACGTGACTGAAAAATCAATACCGAATTTTCGAGCAGTCTCAGTTTTGCTTACAATTTTACAAAAATAATGTATGGGCGTTTGTGTTGTTACAATTTAATCTTCATTGAGGCCTGAAAGATAAGTATTCTACTGTACAAATGATTCTTTATAATAATTATAAAGAAGTTGACTGATAAAACGTCGCAAAGCTAGCCTGCTCTTTAGTCTCATTTGGTAAAATTCACATTTATTCAATCGTTAAAAATACGAATCGCAAAAGTGATAAAAGTAAACCATAAAATATAAGCGGATAAAAAAGATTTTAGTTTCTAACATAGAAGAATTCTCTGAGACGATTTCTCTCGATTTGTTACTGCTAATTAAAATGTCGCGCGCACTCGTTATTGTTCCATTGTAAATGGCATGTACTGTGAACAGGAGACGACATTGGTCTCGATGTTCGTCGCGTAAAGACGTCGACCGAAACGAGCGGAAAAGAACTCAGTCGTTTGTCAGATTTGGCGTTTTCGGAGAAGGGAAGTGCATTAATCGTATCGACAACGGACAGTACCGGATACGATTCATCTCGAGGATGAGAATCGACCTCGTGTTTCCCGCTTACGAGTATGCAGCTGTGTACGTGTTGTGAGCCCATGTATATATATATGTATATATTTATATATATTATATATATAATATAACATGTTCGCGCGTTTCGATAAGAGGGCTCATCTTTGGTCCGCTATACGCATAATCGCGTGTTTACGGTGCAGCCCCCGACTTAATATAGCATGTTATAAAACTCGGTTTTTTAATTAAATACAACTTATAACATTCGCAATAGGCGGAGATAAATTATCATTTGCAAGATATAACTAATTAATAATAATAATAATCAGCATAGCTTAATAATAATTAATATCATCATCTTCATTCGTAGTGTAATAATTAATGGAATATCGCTATAGAAATCGCATTCATTTTGTTCTTGCTGCTCTTATATCCCTTATAATCTCGCATAACTTTGCTTCGAAATTGGCTAATACAAATTAGTATAAGAATAATACATATCGTTAATTATTAGTCTACAATGGTACAGAGATCAAGTAAATGACCTGTGATGGTTTGGTAGCGGTAGGGTGCCATTTCGCTCCAGAAAGCAGTTAAAAAATTTTTCAATTATTGCAGATAAAAAAAAGAGGACAACGGCGTGCGTATGTTTTATATACAATTAAAACTTTTTGGCCACATCGCGATACATATGTTTGCCGTACTGAGTTTTGAAATGAAATTAGATTATTTGAGTGTTTTACGCTAAAATTTTGATCCGATTAAAAAGACGACTTTTCACTCTATACTTGCCAATAAACGGAACACGAGTACAAGCCGCCCTTGGAAAACTTGTCTACACGTACGCGCCGTGTATTTGCCAAAGGACATACAATATATTGTCTTATTGCCAATTTTCTACTAAACTTGCGTTTATTCTCTAACAAACAAGGTCTTTAGAGATTCTCTTAATCTAACTTTCGAGAGCGACATGCACGAGTATCGACATCTCGAGGGACGCCATCACACAAAGACTATACGATCTTGGCCTTAAATCTTCGTAGCGGCGAGGGACGAAGATGCGACGTCTTTTTATTTTCTTCAACACTGTCGCGTTCGTCGCCTTGCGAATAGCGTCGATCACTAAAGCGAAATGAATCACACGTTGGGTCGATTTAAATTACTTTGATCATATAACAATATCACCTTCACTGGCGAAGCATCCTAAAATTTGATCATGCGACGAGTTCTTTGAACGGCGACGCGAAAGACTGCATTGGCGCTACATAAAAAAGATTACATATAAAATTCTCCGGTGCTCACGACCACCGTTGTACACTCCGTCACTCCGGCATCGTGATTCCGGTCGGGTCAATCTCGCGAGTCGCCGTTCGCAACGTTTATCTCTCCGCGAAATTACGTCTGCCAAACCGATACAAAATGAGAGATCGATTCATTTCTTCACCGAGGCGCGTTACCTTCTTCGTATCTACGCGCGGCTCTTTATTCTACGCAACTCAGGTAAAAGAGCATATCGTCGGACCTCTCAATCTGCTCAACCGTCGTGCTGTGACTCGTCGTTATTGCTTCGATCTCAGTTAAGAGGCATCGTCGCATCCCTTACGTGGAGTGGATCGGTTCTCTTCGCATTTGGCAATCGTTCTACACAACGACTCGTGGTGCAACGCCGCGACTGGTGGTCCTCGTCCGTGACGACGTCCTAGGATCGTCACACCTTGTTGTGATGCCTCATCTCATATGCTGCACCCCTCCCCCCTCCGCTGGAGCCCGAATAGGCGCCGGCATACAGCTCTGGGTGATTGGAACGGCCGTAATTGTCTGCTGGCCCGCTATTTGGTGGCGCACTAGCTGTGGGAACCGAGCGATAGCCTGCTTAAAGTTTAGAAAAACGTTCGGCAATGAAACGAAACGCCAAAACCAAAAGTAATATCGGGTAATGCAGGGAGAAGAGAATCGCTGCTAGAAAATCGTGTATATACAAGGTAACAGCCAAATAAAATGCGACAACAATAGAAAAACGGTCGCCACGATCTCCAACGCTTTCTGCGTGTCCTTCGCGCGCCATTTCTTTCGTTCTACCTAGTGCAGCTAATTAATAATGTTATTCTGGAAATAATTTACAATTAATGCGAAATCAGAAAGGAGGAGTTTGGCTCTGATACATGAATGAAAAAGAAAAAGTATTTCAGCTAGCGTCCAGTGCAATGCCATGAACAATGAGCTAGGAGCAAATACAAGAATTTCACAGATGCTTTAGACCATTCTATTGTAAATAGCAACGAGAACTTGTGTTAGAAGTAGTAACGTTTCCCGCATTGCACGACAGTGCTATTTGCATTCATGAATTTGCTCCTATTAAGCGTAAGAATATAGGCCCCAGGCTCACCTCTGCAGATCATAGAACGATAGTATCAGGTAGTCATAGATGCGCGTCAATGCGAGGAAGATGCAAACAGGAAAAGACATTGATGTAGTTGCGGGTCACACAAGGATGAGAGAACGCGCACAACGTTAACTTGAGTTTAATCCGCACTAGCAATTCCTTCTTTCGCGCTAGAGTGTACGCATACTAGAGTGTTTGTTACGATGTACGCAATGGTGTTTAAGCGTAGGAACTAAACTCAAGCAACGAGAAATGCACCGGTCGACTTAACGGGCTAATTTACCTTTTGGATAATATTGAGCACCTCTACCCTCCCCGTAGCCGTGAGAGGGTCCACGGGTTCCGTGTCCACCTTGACTCGGTCTTGGGGGTATACTCCTCGGCCCGGCTCCACCGCCACCGTGTGGATGTCGCTGCAATAAAAGTGGCACGTGACGAAATGTATAAACGAAACCATTTTCTAAATGTCTCTCGTCCCAAACGTGTTAATGCGATACGTTTTTAGTTCTTACCATTCTTCTAAGAGTATTCATCGGTCTTGTTAATGTATCACTGATGCGCCTCGCGGGCGGCTTTTTAGGGTTCGTGGAAGGAATGTGTACGGCGCAACACTTGATAAACAGTCCCATAAATATGATGAAAGCTATGCCCATTAATAACACCGCCCACCAAAATTCCTATAACAAACAACAGAGATGACAACGCTGGGCAAAGGGATAATATAGAGATAAGAGTCGCAAGTAAAACATCCACCGCGCTTACAGTTATCCACTGTGCTACCGACGATAATGTTTCTTTGTTAAAGATTAGATTTTTCAATCTCGCAAGCGGTCCCTCCGTATCGACGGCTCGGCATTTCAAGAAAACGTCGCAGTAACCCTGAAGAGAAACGCAAATGTTTCATTATTGTTACAACTCACGATTTCAAAAGAGTTCAATAAGCCACGCGCGCCGTGTGCTATTTTTCTCCCTCGCGCGGAAATCCATAATTTACCTGGAAATTATCGCAGGGGGAACCGGGTCTGAGGCTCATTCCACCCTCCGGCAATCCCACCATATGCGCGAACTCGCTCGTCCCGCGACACGTTGACGCATCGGTCCCATTTTGACAGGCTAATTCGCAGAGCTTGCGCTTGTCGATGTTCGGTATGATGCTGCTCGTTAAAAAGCACTCTGTCAGATTCCACTCGAGACAAATGGATCCCGTGCACTCCCCGTTGATGCACAACTGTAAATAACGCGTCGTTGAAACCAGCGTCGATAGCCACTAAACCGTACAATTCATAGAATAACAGAGCGCAATTACTTGAGTGCCCTCATTGCATCTAGTCTTGTTGGCTTTCGGCAGCGGCGCCGGGCACTCGGAGGACCTTCCATTGCACGTAGAATTGTAACTGCAGTCCGACTCGGCTCTGCACTGGACTCGATGGGAGAGGGGCACAAACTGGCACGTTTCACTCGAACAGCAGGGTCCTTGACTGGGGCTGCAAACGCATAATTACATTCGTGAGGGATCGAAGGGACACCAGCGGCCAATACCGTATCCGGTCGCGTTTTACACGCTTCGCGTACCTGCATTGCGTCCCGTACTTCCTATTGCAACCTTTCGCCGTGTCATTCTTAATTTTATCCAGCTCGGACACCTGTCTGGGATAGCAGCACTTGTCCACGCACTCGTCGTCATCGTATCCGCAATCGCACTCCTCGCCAGCCTCGACGATTTTATTCCCGCAAAACGCACCTGTAAACGACAAATGCGATAAATTTCGCCAGGCGAATAGAGACATCGGAAGCAACGCTTATTTCTCCCGCTCGTTCCATTCTCAAGACTCGAGGAGTCCGTATAGCGCGGAGGGAAAATGCGATGTAAAAATACCAGTGAAACAGTTCCTCTTCTTATTATCCTCGATAGCATCTAGGACGTTGCTGATATTGCCAATGCTGCACTTTGAAAACTTGCTGTTGTTCGGTCGATTTCCGCTCGTCGCCGAGGCGAACATAATGTAATTACCGTCCAAGCCTCCCGGTCTGCATTCCGGTGGAAAATCGTGCTGAGGGAAAAAAAACGGTGATATCGTTATCGTTACCTCTGCGCACCGAACAGATCGAACGCGCGTGCGAGGAGAGGCGCGGGTGCTTTCCCCTCTTCCGGCTTACCGGCGAACCGAAATTATGTCCAATCTCGTGCGCCAGGGTCAGCTGCGACACCTTAGGCGGCACGCGGCTGTTGTAATTCACGAAAGTGATGATGCCGGTGTTGAGGGACCTCTTGGTGGACTGATACAGGCCGGACACGGTCTCGGTGTAGGTCTTGAATTTCTCGCAGATACCGCCGGACGCGCCGGACGCGGAAGCGACCCAGGCCAGCCCGAGCGTGCCGCCGGTGAAGTCCCTGTCGACAAAGCGTCGAAATAACGTTCGCAAAGCCGGCAGCCTCGAGCGAACAGTCTCGGGTGTCTCGCTACTCCTCGCTTACCTGTAGGTGAACACGTAGGCGAGACAGAAGTCCTCGTGGTTCGAGAGAGAATGGAGATTCAGAAAGTTGCTAACGTCGATGTTCTCCATGCAGAAGGGGTTCGGCTCGCTGTACGGCTGAGGAGGCGTACACGCCGTCTCGTCGTCTATCTGTTATCAGATATAGCGTGTCAGTCTCGGAGCGAGCTGTACGAGTGCTCGCACACTTCCTATTTTCGATACCTTTATTCGCTGAACCTCGAACTTGATGTTCCTGTGCTCCGTCCTGCCGTCGAATTTCGTGTCCCTGTAGATGTAGTTGACGGCGGTGACGTGGTGCGCGATCAAGGACAATATCTCCTCCCTGGTCTTCTCCGCGTCGTGATGCAGCTGCGAATGCAAACGCGAACGTTCAACATTCCGTAGCACGAGCGTTTGAGATTGCTCTATCTCTTATTCTACGCGACGCGACGCACAATTTTTCCCTCGGTGTACACTCCTGCTTGACGGAGAATTTCCGATCTACAGAATTACTGATCGGTTTTGCGATCCGAAATATTGAGAGTTTCCTGCGAAGAGCCCGGCCGTGCCATTTACAAACGTCTGCGTTTATTAAAATTTAACGCGAGAGAATATCTCCTTAACAAGTCAACAATTTTCGACCCAGCTGGCCTAAATTTATCATTAGAAATCACAACTCGCTACGTTTCGATCATTCTGGTCCTTTTCAAGCGACAAGGTGTAACCTTGCGTGCCACATGAATGCCAATAAAATTGCGGAATCCATCATTGATTCCTGAAACTACAGCGCATGTTTCAGAGCACGTCTACAAATGTAGGAGACAGCAATAAGACTGGTGTCTCTTAAAATTTTCGATGTCTCTGCGAGCAGAACTCTCGGCGAGAGTTTTTGTACAGAGAAGCTCGGAAAAAATTCGCCCGGAAAAATCATTATAATTGCTTTCGGTGGAACGCGCTCTGTGCGAGCGTACCGGCGATATCAAAGCCGGGACGGGGATAGGAGTATTCTTTTTGTGAAGAACACCGGAATGCGGATGGTGTCTGGTTTGTTGAGAAAATGCAAAGGGGAATTGCACTGACCGTGGCTGCCGACGAAAACGCATATGAATGTGACCATAGGAAGAGAACGGTCGGCATTCGAGGTATTCCTCTATTGTGTAAGGAAATACTGGCATTCCCTCGTTACAAATTGCCAGCGAGAATTGGGTCAGTCCGTCGTTCTAACAATCTGCTATCTTATCTGCACTTCTTTTACGTGATGATGAAAAAAATGCCAGTTTTCTGCGCTCTTTCTTTCTACCGCTCGATAAAATGGGGAGCGGGGTGCCGGAAAAGAGATACTTCATTTTTAATTTCAAAGGATAAATACGGCACGAGAATGAAAAATGTGATACATTTCGAATGTAATTTCGACATGCTAATTTCCCATATACTTTGGAATTTTTCAGATTTAATTCCAAGCTTTATGAAATACGAAAAATAATGAGAAACGTCTCTCACTGGCTAATTGCATTTAATATTCTTTAGCGCATAGAATTTAAAAAAAAAGAGGAAGTGTCTTAAAAATTGCGTGCAATTTCGAAAATTTATATTCGAAAAATTGCATATATTCTTAAATCTGAGAAAATTTATAGGACGCTCAGCGACATATGTACGAGCTACATACTCGAGGTAAATTTCGCGTACCTGTTCAGAGATGTGCCTCCATATAAGAGGATCCGTTTGTATGAAAAGCGAGCAGGTGTTGTTTTCTTTCGACCTGGTCGCTCTTCGTGGCCTGCGATGACTAGGTTCGTTAGCTTCCCTGCTGTACTTGTGGCCGGGAGCCTCCCGGTCGCCGTTCCAGGGTGCGACATTGGGCTTCGGCTCCTTCTGATTCGCCGACGGCACCGCTTTAGGCGGTTCATCCGGTAGAGCGGAATTCTGCACCCTTTCCATCCAGTCTATCACATCACTATTAGTAATGCCACATCCACCGCCGTCACCTGAAAAATTCGTCGTTCACTCGATGTCGTTTCACCACTCAAGTGTGGTATTAATATAATAACACAGCTAAAAGTCTGTGTCCACGATGCTAGAACTTGGGCCAAGTAGTCTTGTTGTAAATAGTAGTTATAGTGTTGTTGTAAAAAAATTTCTAAAGAAAATTTACAAAGAGAGAGAAAAATAGAAGAGTTTGCCATTGACAATTTTTGAAGCGCTATTATCACAGTTTTGTTGTATACAATTTGCGGAATATCTCGTATTCCCAGAGGTTTAATAAATGTCTCCGACGAGATAAGGAAAACTAGACCTTACAAACTACAGTCTTATCATTAATGCGAAACATATATTACTGTATATCACAAGACTCATTCGTAACGCTGAGTTCGCAAATCGTAATATTTTATAAATCTGTTTTTGAATCTGGATACACGCGTGTTCGTGGCATAACAATATTGTTATAGACGGAAAATGTTATGACGCGAAAAGCTTTACTAATACTCGCCTGTACAAAATTAGTGAGCGAATAAAACATTAATACAGCAAAAACTTTTATTTGCCGTAGTCGTTGACGTTAGCTCGCATGTAAAAATATTTACGTGAAATACGTGACGTCCGAGATCCAATACTTCATCTCGGTCAGAATAATCGAGACAATGAGATACTACACGGAGAGAATTTTTTCTTAAAATTTACCCTGAAAATCGTGTAATCGTAGGACAACATGGCATTTTGAATTATATGAAAGTTTTCTAAAATTTTACTAGTAAAATGTATGGTAAAATTTCATAGAAAACTGTCATGAAATTCTTCGAAATGTCGCATTGTCCCACAATTGCACGATTTTCGGGATGAATTTTAAGAAAACATTCTTTCCGCGTACGTGCACGAGAGTTTTCAACGAAACGCAGTCGCCCATCGTTAGAAACGAAAAGAATTGGTCGTCGATCGTGACTTTTGGCACGTTAACACACGCCCGTTTATTCACAGCTGAAACTGACCCTAGCGGGAAATAGCGGGGTAATAACAGGGACCATCGGTATTTCTGCTTCCCGAACTGCGGTAGATGAAAATCTGGGAGCGTGAATCGTGAGCCAGGAAGCGCCGCAAGGTTCCTAATTAATGGCAAAGTTCATTGCCATTAATTCTGAATCTGGTCGTGGAACTCGAAACATCCACGGGCCACGTGGGAGTCTTACATCATCGATGGGACCGGGATACACACGCTTCGAGTTCTCCTACAGGTAAGCCCCCCCCCCCGCCCCCCGAAGCCTGTGTCCCGGGGTCTCTTTGGGTGGGAATACAGAGCGGAGTAATAATAACGTCGCGGAGGCCAGGTCACGTACCGTGCAATCTGCATCGCGTGAGTCGGCGTTGTCACCGAAACAGCGGCATACGCGGCTTAATCATTGGCATAATTTCGCAATACGCTCGAGGTATCTGCGTGAAGCGAATATATGGACATAATATGGCGACTAATGGTGACCTTGTCGCGGTCTCTCGGGTGTCATATCGCGCCGCGTAACAACGTTGTTATCACGCGGAAATGTCTGCATACGCGTGCGAGTACGCGGGCCGGATCGTCGGGGAGCCATCGGCGCGATTTCAGATCGGCGATTCCGAGGAGAGGAGAAAAGTCGACAGGATGGAGGAGATCCACTAGCGCATGCGGCGTTTCTTCGCGACAACTGCATTTTTTTTATCTTTAAAAACGACGCTGATAAAAACAGTTGTCGATAAATATGATTAAATATGTTTGACAGTATATAAATGTGGTTTTAAGGGGATCCTAAAGCCGCTGGCGAACTCGGTCGATAAGATAGGAGACGGCATTAAAAACGTCAATTAGCGACATTTTTACTTCCAAGTTCTACTCGGTCCGAGAAATTTATAGCCAATCCATTTGCAACTTTTACGAAAAAGTAGCAATTTTATTAGCTACACATTGCCCAGACCGAGATTTTGGATCAAATTCTAGCATCGTCAACACCATGGCTTTACTGATAATCTGACAGATCTGTTTGGCAGCGACCTTTCTCGAAAGAGCCTGCAACTATTTCCACACGCCATACTGCTCTTTTTCTCTTCTTCTAGACTTGGATTTCTGGACTTGCGTTCATTAGAAGTAATCTTTTTTTCTAGGCTATTAATCTTAATTAAAAACAGTATTAGGCTCGTATTAAATTAATAAGATTAGATAATGGGCCAATAAGCTAAACGAGCGATGTAGGTTTTTAAAACATTTTAATAAATAATTCGATATGATCTTAGTCTATATAATTAAAACGGGAATAATAAAAGAATCCCTATATACAATTAATTTAATCTAACGAACGTTTCGACAGTACTTTGTCTTCTTCAGCGTGTATATACTAAAATAAAATTACAATAAAGAATAAGAATTTACATGCCAGTTAAATATTACGATGCGAAATTTCTTGTCGGTATTTGGTTGCTTACTTGAAAGTCAGAACGAACCCATTTTCCGGAGTAGTCAGTTTTTTAAAAAATCGAATGGTTTTTGTTGGTCCAGTAATATCAATCTTGTTTTACATTGGCAGATGTAAAAGGGATTGGTCCAGGTATGTCCAGCTATTTGTCGTTATAAAATAGTGTTTGAAATTTCTTCAAGGATCACGGTTTCGTTCTTCCACTTTCATGTCTTGTGTGTGACTAAGTCATATTGTTAAAATAGTGGTATTATAATATACAGGGTGTCTGATGCAAAAGTAGCAACTTTGAAAATAGTGGTAGATTAGGTTAAACTAAGGAGAAATATCATGTACTGCGGTACAAAGTAACAATAGTTATCGAGTAGTAAATTTACACGTTTGAGCGAATGAGGATGCAGGAGACGGTAGGCCGAACTCGGAAGGCATTTAAAAAAATCGATCGATGAGCGGGAGGTGGAACGACGCGCGAGATACACCATGGTGGGAAAAAACC